AAACGAGTGCGCAATTCATTTGATTGTAAGTGAATGCTGTTGCCCATAGTTTCAAAATACAGATGCGCTGCCACATTATAACCCAGGATTAAAATTGAATGGCTCGTTGCTAAGAAAGGTCCTTTATGTTTGTCTTTTCCTTCTGCCTTATCTTTTTATTTTTGTCTTTTCCGTCGGCTTATGTCTTAAGAGGATAATTAAAAGGAATCTCCGCTTAAATCATTTACCTTACTCAACACGGCACTATTCCCCAAGCGAAGCGACCCATTCGTGCTAGTCATTGAGTTTTAATGTGTAGTTGAAAGTGAAATAAAGCTTGCTTTATATACAAACTTATTTTTTTTATATATTACGGTCGAATTTCAACCCTTAGGAAAACACTTTAACACTAATGGTCGCCTAATTATTAAAAACTAATTCATAGAATTGTTGTTTGTAATATTATGCAAGCTGTATTTCACTTTCAACAGCACATTTTATACGTGGCAGAGCCATGCTGCAGCTATATTAGTAGTATAGTTGTAGCACGAATGGGTCGGCTCAACCGGGTGAGGACCACGCTCTCACAGAAAACCAGCGTAAAATAGCAGCTTAACGCTGCTGTGTTTCGTATGGAAAATGTAGAGAACCGGAGACCCCTTTTACTGGCAAAGAGGCATTCCATCTTAGTCCTCACGGGTGACAACGCATTGCATTTTGATTCGCAAGCGAGGATAAATGTAGATGTCTATGGGCCACAGCCACCACTTACCATCAGATGGACTGTATGCTCGTTTGTCACCCTATCCTATAAAAAAAAGCATTAAAACCATTTGGATTTGTTTTTTTTTTTCAAAACAACGTCATTTATTTCTCCTGTATCTGAGGGCAGTTTACATATATGAATTTCACAAGGACGAACGTTGAAACCCGCAACAATTATTTGTAGGTCATAAAAATACTTCTTCCGTGCGGAAAACATGCGGGAACAGTGGTAGAGCCACGCGGCAGCTTTTGCTGTCGCACGTATGGGCCGGCTCGAACCGGGGTAGTACCACGACCTCACAGAAAACCAGCGTGAAGTAGAGGTTTACCTCTGCGTTTCGCTTGGTAAGTGCAGGTGGCTGGAGGCCCTTTTTACTGGAAATGAGGCATTCCATCTTAGTCCTCACGGGTGACAACGCATCTACATTTTGATTTGTAAAAGAGGATATATGTAGATGTCTATGGGTCGCAGCAACCACTTGCCATCAGGTGGACTGTGTGCTCGTTTGTCACCCTTATCCTATAAAAAAAAAATACGAACCCGTGAACATCAACTCATGGCTTTTGGCACGGAGCCGTCGACTCTCTTAATAACTGTGGCACATATGGCACATGCTCACAGAATAACATTGTAAAATGGCAGCTCAATGCTGCTGTCTTTCGTATGGTGGGTGTAGAAAACCGGAGACCCTTTTTACTGGAAATATTGTATCCTACCTTAGTCCTCACGGGTAACAACGCATCTGCGTTTTATGTCCACTTACCATCAGGTGGACTGTGTGCTCATTTGTCACCCTCATCCTATAAAAAAAATATGAGTTGGTTCGCTTGAGAAGTATAGTTCTGGAGATATACTTCTCAAGCGAACCAATAATATTTTTTTTTATTTATTTATTAAAAGAGACTTACAGCTTTTATATCACATTTGAATGTAAGATGAATGTTAACAATACATTAGCCAAAACAGTTTCCAACGTTAAGATTTACATTGCGAAAACTTTAAACATAATTAAATGAAGTACATATTTCTGTTTTGCCAAAGAGAAAAATATAATTACTGCATACGTAATACCAATGTTAGTAAAGGTAATTTTATATTCAGATAGAGGACAAGAAGTACAAACACTACCTAAGCGTGATCAACTTGTCTAATAGATGTAACATAACTATTTAATTTGCAGTTAAATATGTCAATATGGTTATAACGCTCATTATGTGTGTTGCAAGCGCGAACCAGAAACCGGTTTTTCGAATACTTAGTTCTGCAAAAAGGAGTAGAGAAAACTGCATTGGAGCGAGCACTCAACCTAGGGCATCTAAATGTAATACGACTTAGAAGGAAGGGGGAATCTATATAGTTATGTAAAAGTTTAAACAGAAACACCTGATCTCTATGTTCACGTCGTAATTCTAATGAATGATGTAGCGCAGAATGATCCTTAAATTTGTAATTAAGTCTTTTCAGAAACTTATTTTGAATCCTTTCTACTTGTTCCACATAAGTAGCGTAAATAGGGTTCCACACCGTAGATGCGTATTCAAGATGACTTCTTACTAAAGAATTATACAGCATAATATAAGTGTTTATGTTTTTGAAGTCCTTGCATTGTCGGAAGACAAAACCTAACATTCTATAAGCCTTGGCAGTAGCCTTGTCAATATGAGACGCAAAGTCTAGTTTACTATCTAGATATACCCCCAGGTCCCTCACCTCGGTCACTCTTTTAATCAAAATGTTATTTAATTTATAATTGTAAACAATCGGTCGTTTTTTTTCGAGAATAAGATATAGTATAACATTTATCAATATTTAATTTTAGATTATTAGCCGAACAATATTCATAAAAATTGTTTAAATCTTTTTGAAATAGTAAAGCATGTTCGAAATTCTTAACGAAGGTAAATATTTTAGTATCATCAGCGTATAGTAATGCTTTTGAATGTTGAATGCTACGACGTTGCATGACACCATTTATAAATATATTAAAAAGAAGAAGACCGAGATGAGAACCCTGAGGCACACCAGAAGTGATCGGAACAAAGCTCGAGGTATAGCCCTTCACAGCTACTGCCTGAGACCTATCACGCAGATATGAGGTTAGCCATCTCAAGAGATCGCCGTGAATACCGACGTTTACAAGTTTAGCAATCATTAGATTGTGGGAAATTTTATCGAACGCTTTTGAAAAATCGGTATACACGGCGTCAACCTGATAGCCTCTTTCCATGGCCTCCAATGTTTCATCCTGAAACTCGCATAAGTTAGTTTCTGTGGATCTACCGGGGATGAAACCGTGCTGACTTGAAACTATTTGCGGTTTAATTACAGGAAATAAAGAGTCGTATATAATTTTTTCAAATAGCTTGGGTATAACAGATAGTTTGGAGATACCACGGTAGTTAGCTATATTGTGTTTGTCTCCGCTCTTAAATATGGGAACAACAATGGATTGTTTCCAAAACAAGGGCATCACACCTTGCTTCAAAGAAATATTAAAGAGTAATGAAAGAGGAGCTGCTAAATGCTTACTGCATTGTCTGAGGAAGATTGGATGAATACCATCTGGGCCAGTACCTTTATTGATGTCGAGATTCTTCAAATATTTTTCGACTTTAACGTTATTAATGTAAACAGAATTAATTATACAATTATTATTTTCCGTATCACAGTTCATAACATTCTTGCCAGGTGGCTCAAATACAGAATGAAAGAATGAGTTAAATAGATAAACAATTGTCTGACCATCTGATGCATATATATCACCAAAGTATAGAGTATCAGGTATATCACAGCTTTTTTGCTTTGATTTAACGAACGACCAAAAGTATTTTGGGTCAACTTGAATATTTCTCTCAGCGTGATTAATAAATCGTTCATAGCACAAAACTTCATATTTTTTAATATCACGCCGTGTATTTGAAAAGTTGTCATAATCACACTGTCTACCATAAATTTTCCATTTTTTATGAAGTTTAAGTTTTCTATTTATGAGTTTAATTAGACGCTTATTAAACCAGACTGGATATTTATTATTATTTCTAACGACTTTAAGTGGGACAAACCTATTTATCACATCACGCACAATTTTATAAAAGTTATCAACAGCAGTATCAATATCGTTTAGATTTAAATGGTCTTCCCAAACAAGATTTGATAGTTCTTGGTTAATTTTATTATAATCCGCGGTATGAAAACGTCGTACTATCCGGTTGGCTGGACACAGACTTGGAGTATAATCAATACTTAAGTCAATACATAAAGAGGGATGATGGCCATCTTCCGGCGATGACAACGGCATGACTCTTTGTACAACACACTTCAAATCGGAAATCACCAAATCCAACTGTCTGTCGTTCATATTGTTAACGTGATTATATTGTGACCAGTCATTAAAGCATAAAAACGCAAACAGTTGTGATGTCAATATGTTATCATATGGATTATCAAGATACAAATTACTACCTGAAGAATGTGGATTTGGGATCCATCTAGCAACCCTTATGTTAAAATCTCCTACCAATAAAAACTTATCATTAGGATAGTCAATTTTAAGATCAGATAAATATTCATAAAACGATAATTCCGCTGCCGCTTGATAATCATTTTGGGGGAAGTAGCAACAAAATAGTCTCAGCAATGATGTCATCGGTGCCCGATTCAATAAAATATTAACACATGTTACGTCAGCATCATACAAAAAAGGTAATTTGCGTAGTCCCTGCATACTCACAGTTATCCCTCGGCGAACAGCAATCATGGTACCACCACCTTTTTTAATAGTTAAATTATCATAGTCACGATCGTTACGGTACACGTTATACCGAGAGTCAAACAACTCAGCATCATAGATTCCTGGTAACAACCAAGTTTCGCTTATGCATATAATATCATAATCTGAGTTTAGAATATTACTATAAAATTGTTTAAGTTTCGTCCGCAGACCTCTTGCATTTTGATAGAATATGTTAATTGACACTGAAAATGTTAAGTTTAACTAAATAGTTTCTTAAGTATATAACGTTCAAATAAAGTAGAAACAACCCAAAGTGTAAGTCTATAGCCGGCTCCAATGCAATTTGATAAAATCTTACAACATTAAAATAAAATATTTGAGTTTGCAACAATATTACAGTGATAGTTTTATAAAAAGCAAGTTGATAACCAGTGAACACAATACTTAATTTAAAACATAAATCAATTACATTTATAGTCAAAAACAATAAGCAGTAAGAAAAGTATGACACAACCATAGCACTTATACAATTTTGTTTAAAGAGCGTTCAGACGTGATGTGTATAATTGGCGATTGATCACTGCGGCGCACCATGATCGAACAGTTACGAACCCAGCAGTAGACGTAGCCTTTCTCCTTCGCCAATTGCTTCGCTTGTTTGAGAAGATGCTTATTTTTTGCCGAAAGATGGTCGTTGAAAAATATCTTATAGCCACTCTGTGCCCCAGTAATACCAATATCGCTAGCGGTACAGTTCTTTAATTTACGTAACAATGATAGAAAATCATCCTTTTTATATCTCGAATGCATTTTCAAAATAATCGGCTTCGGTGTTTTATTGTCCGCATCATTCTTAACCGCCACACGAGTTACGAAATCAACATCACTATCTATATTAATTATAAAATTACATTTTTGCGCTAGGGACTTCACTAAGCTTAAAAGGTTTTCACCCTTTTTCTCAGGAACCCCATTTATTTGTATGTTTGAACGGCGAACCCATTGGTCATTGCGATCATTGCAGTCAGAAATATCCCTCACTTTTGATCGGATATGGTCGAGATCTTGCTTCAACTTATCATTTTCCTCTTTAAGATCGGAAATCTGTTCATTTATCAAAGCAATTAATGATGCAAAGCCATTCATTTTAGTCTCCCATGAATTAACAGTAGCTGATAGTCCTGTTAACTTGTCGTTAACGTCGGATTTCAGGGAGTCGATGGCAGATTGCAACGCACTAAACCTACCGTCAAAATGTTCCATAATGGCATTTGCATCAATGTTTATCATAGATTGCGATTGCGATGAGCTGCATTCCAGACGAGGTGTGTTGGGCCTGTTTTTATTATCCTTTTTTTTACCGGATTTACACGATGGACACTTCCATTTAATTTTATTCATAGGTAACATTTTCTTAAAGTCCAGTTCTTTTAATCCTATGCATGCGTAATGGTATGAGCCACGACATGCAGAGCAATTAATTAAGTCCTCCTCATTTACAACAACGAAACATGTTTTACAATCCATAGTATAATAGTATTTTGTATTAATTTAAACGAGAGGTAGATTATTTAAAACAGTAGGCACGTAAAACAATAATATATATATTTGCCATGTAGTAAGTATCATTACCAATATCGTTACGTGGGTGCCCATCAAACCCATAAAATATGGACAGCAGCGTCTTCCTAATAACATGTAAAAATACAAAACTGTGGTTATCAAACCTACTGCGAAGCGTAATATCTATAGAAAATACTCCCCCTATGACTCAATCTGTGGGGGAGGTATATGTTCAGCAGTCAGCAGCAGTTCAGCAGAATTTTGATAAGCTGTAATGGTGTTTTGATAATGTAACTTATTTACGTATTATCCTTTTCTGCCTACGAGTTAAAATAGCGGTACGTGCAGTGCTGAAGCGTAAAGCGAACCAGTGTCATTACAAGCTATGAGGCATTCCACCTTAGCTCTTAGTTGAAGAAGCCACTTACCATCAGATGGACAGTAAACTCGTTTGTAACTTCAATTTTATGAATAAAATATGCGATATCAAATAATAAAAAATACAGCACAAGTATATAAAAAGATACTTTAACGTTGTTGAAACCCAATATTTGAAGCACCTCTCAACTGGTCAACTCGAATGTGGAACGGCCTTCGCGTCTTTTATTTCTCTCACTTGAAATCTTACTTTTTTATTTCACATTTTTGTTTACGATTTGCTTCATATTCTACTCGAAGTTTTTTTGAACATAGTAGTAGATATTCTGTAACAAAATCTATTGCAGCTGGTAATTAATATAATACGTAAAATTAAAATAAAGAATTAAATTCTGCGTAAAAAAATAAAGTAATATTTAGTTTGGATCTTGGATGGATAGTCTGGATCCATCTTTCTTATTCTTTAGATGAATCTTAATAAACTAATTTTTAACATTTATACATATAATAAATCTGTAGAAAAATTGTGTGTTCACGATTCACGCAAAAACTAGTGGACAGATTTCCATGAAATTTTGTATTTAGACAGTAAATGACCATGTATAACATATAGGAAACTTTTTACCCGCTTACGGAAAGTAATAAAGGGGTTATATTTTTCCTTTTCTCTTTAAGCTTATTCTCATTATGGCTGGTAATGGTCCCTTTTATTCCTAAACAGGATTCAGCTATACGTATAATAAATCTATAGAAAAGTGTGTGTGTGTGTGTGTGTGTGTGAAAAATCCATCGCGCCACCAACCAGTAAGTGCAGATGAACGTCTGCCGGGTCAGCTAGTATTTAATATAATGGATTCCCGCACAGTAACGCCTGATTCTACTAATTATTTCAAATAAAGTGTGTCATATATCTATTGATAAGTAAATCTCAGATTATAATATAATAAACGGACAAACAGTTAATTACTTCCGTTCTGTTACTGCTTCTTGCTTTGACTCAGTAAGCGATGAAGTGTGTATCGCATTAATCAAAACATACCCAATTAGTAGAGCCGTCCGAAACCTTTTATCCTAAAAGCTACTGTTTCTTTCCTAAGGTTGTATCTGCAAAATTACTCGCCTATAATTAGCCTTGCTCATGTTGTAGGTGCGGTTCTTTTATAGGTCGTTCCAAAACCGGTGTTTGTTGTACAGTTCATTTATTTTAGCTGGCGACCTAAAAATTTTCCACATAAAATCTTTTGATGTTGGTGTTTAGGCATTTTTTTTTCTTTAGGAACTGTTATATGGAATATATTAAAGTTCAAGATCGTCCCCGGCATTACATCAGATTTGATAGACCACAGATCCTCGTCAAACACCACCCGCCCCCCCACCCCCGTGACCGTGGGTGCTGTAAAGCACCCGAAACGTCGGGAATTAAAAATAAGTTAATCAACTGCGATAAAGTCTGTAAAAATAGTTTTATTCAAAGTCTAAATGATTGGGGCTGTAACTTTTTTTTTCTAAATTCATTTGTGATCACTTATGAAGTATTTTTTTTTTTTTTATAGAATAAGGGTGACAAACGAGCACACAGTCCACCTGATGGTAAGTGGTTCCTGCGGCCCATAGACATCTACATCTATCTTCGTTTGCGAATCAAAATGCAGATGCGTTGTCACCCGTGAGGACTAAGATGGAATGCCTCTTTTCCAGTAAAATGGGTCTCCGGTTCTCTACACTCACCATACGAAACACAGCAGCATTAAGCTGCTATTTTACGCTGGTATTCTGTGAGAGCGTGGTCCTTCCCCGGTCGAGCCGACCCATTCGTGCTACAACTATACTACTAATATAGCTGCAGCATGGCTCTACCACGTTGAAAAAGTATGATTCATTTATGAACAAAATAATTATTTAAATCGAGTTTTAATTAATAAAGATATCGTAGGCAACATACCAACAAATATCCATCATAGTGGTTATTTTAGAGTAGCTATTGACAGTAGTGCTAGAAAAAAAAATCTATTCAAATTAAGCATATTTCGTTAAAGATGATGTAACCTAATGATCATACATACTAATAACCATAGATGTTACTGGTCATCACTGATATACCTATTCTAATTTTAAATCTAATACTACTAGTAGGTCTGTTTAAGAATATTCTAGTTAGCATACATTACTTATTTGACAAATCAATAATTTAAGTTGTCGAAATTTAAATGATTGACCCGCAATGGTTCGAGCTCATAAATCTTATTTATTGATATTACAACCATACACGTTTTGCGCTAAATTTCCAGCCATTACATGTTCCCTGGAGCCTCGTCAATCAATCACTGATTACAGTTGTGTTTACATTTTTATTAAAATAAGTCATGTTTGCCTTTAAGTCCAAATGTCTATTTTACTTTTTATTTCTATTTTAATTGATTTATTACATTTTTTTAATTATTATAAAACAATTTGAATATTATGTATATTAATATTATAATATTTATTAAGAGACTGCACACTAAATCTGCTTCACTTTGAATCTGTCCAGTATCGGCCTTGTTGCATGAAATTTCAATATGAAATAAGCAGTGCCTTTGTACAAAATATCTTTCTTTATTTTTCATTGTAACATTACTTTATGTGTACATAAATTGTTAAATAAATAAATAAGAATGTACAACAGTTTTTTTTTTGGTTATTATGATAATTCCAAGGTTATAGTTTTGAGAAATTTTTTGAAGGCAAAAGATACCAAACACTTTTGACATGCACGTTAAAAGTTAACGAGATTTACAAGCGGAACTTTATGCTATACCTTAATCCCATGTTATAGACATGCGGAAAACATCAAAGGTTTTTCCACGCGTCCACAGTCAAGGCCATGAAAGCACTCATAGCTCAAACGTGTAGAAATTCCAATATTAATAAAATCTGTGAGATTTTTTTAAGAAACTTACCTCCATAGTAGGATTTTTTTGTATCGTTGATTTTGACTTTGATTTATACCCCATATGATTCCGTATGTGTCGTAAGCGACGACAGAAGAAAACAAATTAGGAGATGAGCAGCAGCGTATTCCTAACAACGACCAAAAGAAAAGCTGCGGTTGCCAACCCGCTTGCCAAGCGTTGCAACAGTGAAAATATCCCCCTATGAGGCAATCTATGGGCGAGACCTATGTTCAGCATTGGAATTTAATGGGCTGTAACGGAAACGTTGACTTTTTAGACTTCAAGGCCACACAAAAACTTGTTCCCTACTCAACCGTTAAAAAAGTTCGACAGATATTAGAAAGAAAGAAAGGAAGAAATTAAGTTTATTTAGTAACATATAGCATATAATTTTGGTAAATGATTACTAAAAAGATATCCAACCCGGCATAGCCTTGGTTCAGTACCAGTGGGCGCCATTGAAAATTTAAAAAAATTTTTGGTAAAACACACAATAATATTTAAACCATTACACGTATACACTATTACATCCATATTTTATAATAAATAAATGTAATAAAATTAGCAATTACTTAAATTGAGTAGAAAGAAATAAACGGAATAGAAGTGAATGTAAGACACAATATATAATTTTCAATAAATTGATGTTAATGTATTTATATTTAAATAAACCAATTAAATTTTATTAACCGTATAAATACAGGACACAGCTGACGAACTTCTAACCGTTCACCTAAGTGCTAATAAATAATGCGTCAAAGAAAACAAGAAACGAAGAAAAGCAAAATTAATTTGAACTTTTCACTTTAAGCTTGCTCTTCCGTCAGAACGTGCCTCCTTACGCGTCTTTGTGTTGTTTAAAGACCCTTAGGGAATATATAAGTAGGACTTGTTTTCTTGTTTTTCGCGTTTATTAAGTGTTAAATTCACATTTGTCTTAATAATATACAAGCACTGATATAAATTTTTTAACAAAGTAATATAAGAGTTTAAAAAAAAAACTAACAAACATTGATTATTTTGACGGCTTTATAGCGCACTGCCTGATCGTGTGTGATGGTCGCGAAGCTACGGGGCCGCGAGTTTGAAAGAACGGAACAAGATCTGTATGCTCTTGAAATAACTGTTTCTTCTCTGGGTTTTTTTATAGGATAAGGTGACAAATGAGCACACAGTCCACCTGATGGTAAGTGGTTGCTGTGACCCATAGACATCTACATTTATCCTCGTTTGCGAATTAAGATGCAGATGTGTTATCACCCGTGAGGAATAAGATGGAATGCCTCTTTTCCAGTAAAAAGGGTCTCCGGTTTTCTACACTTACCATAAAAAACACAGCAGCGTTAAGCTGCTATTTTACGCTGGTATTCTGTGAGAGCGTGGTCCTTCCCCTACTACTAATATATCTGCAGCATGGCTCTACCACGTACAAGTGGGTGCGTGTCCTTCTGCAATTAATGTATGAATAACACATACGGGAGATATACTTCTGTGTGGGTAAAGTTTAAAAATAGTAATATAAAATCAAAAAAGTATATTTAATAAAAGGTTATTCACCTTGTATTGAAGTACATAAAAACTGCGTCATGAAATTCCATTACATTCGAATGTATACACACATATATACACACAAGTCAAGCTAATAAAAGCATT